TCGTTCCAGTCTCGAGTAGCTGTAAATTACCACGTTTCTCATTCTCTAAGTGATGCATTACTAAGTAGGTGGTAGTCTGACGCTGAGGTTGGTGAGTATCTTACTGTGGTCACAGGTCCCAGCCAAGATCGACAATTTTTTTGGTGCCATCTTGGCAACATGGCGGGCGCTGGCTGTCGTGGAACCGGAAGATATTCGGGCTTTTCTGGCGAAGTTCGGTCATCTTTTGAAGTCCATTAGAGCTGACCTAGTAGTCGCTGCTGTATTATCGAACAGTACTTAACAGCCCTACTTTTTTGTTTTTTGTTTTTTTTTTTATTTTTTTATTTTTTTTCTAGTAGGTACAATGGCAGAAATTCTTCGTTCCTTCTTTTGCCATCTACATATTTGAGAGAACCTTTGAAAGATGCAATCCAGTTAATGTGCATGGCTTATGCTGGCCATCCTAGTTCGTCGTTACCCGCTGTGACGAATTTCTTCCGTTGTGCAGGGTGACGAAAAATCTGAACCACGATCACTTGCACACTTGCACCACTTATTTTTCAGTAAGGCCCCCATAACCTCAATATATCGTTTGCTCGGCAAAATAACTTCACAATACCCTCTAAGAAATATTTTTCCTACCCCTCCCCAAATATGCATTAATTGCCGATTTCAGCTCTTCATCATTAAAACGCTTTCCACGAATACCTTTCTATTCAGTTTGGGGAACATGAAATAATCAATAAACATTTCCTCAATTTTCTCTTCATTTTTCTAATTGTTTTAATCAATAATCGTTTTTACAACATTGTCGCATCAGTTATTCTGGTCTTCTTTCACTAACCTAGGGATCACTAGAATAGCATTATAATGAGTGAAATCTTGTAATTATACCCTCAGGGAGCCTCGCTACCTACTGGAGTGATATAAATTCCTTCGTCACTACTAAAAATCTCGATACCGAGAATACTTACGGCTCTTGTATCATCCATCGCGAATATCTTTCTTGACCACTGAGGCATCAGGTATACTGTGAAATGATGCAGCTTGAACTTGGGGTCAGTTCTCGGAGTGTTGCGTACGGCTTAGCGTCCAGGGTGTTGGTTCTTCGAAGACTTGACTTTCTACAATCAATGTATCCGTTCCTATGGTTAGACCGCAAAACATTTCTGTTTTATGTGTGTCCATTTATGTAGGCCAGACGCTGTCAAGGGCGTCCAAATCGCTATGTCAGCTGCTGCGGACTACCTTCTATGTAGTAGTAGTAGTAGTCCACGGAAGGCATCAGAGCTCGGCAGTGGAGAGGCGGCAATCGTCTGCCTGCACAGTGTATTCTACTGTCCCGCGCTTAACCAGTTTGTAGACGTCTTTGTCTGTTTAAGTAGACTATCCGGTCCGCACTCTCTAAGACTGCCTCACTTTCGCTTAAGTAAACCCACATAAGTAGCAGTTCTAACGCCTCCCTAGTTGCACCATCCGTTTGAGCTAAACGGCCTATCTCTGTCTCAAGGTTAGATTTTCATCGTACTTTCGTTTTTTTTTCTTTAACATATGTTAACACTGGATGACGCGACGAAACGATTGCTGAGCCAGAGCTGGGTCGCATCTCCTTGGCTGGGCATAAAATAGCGATGGTGGCGGGAAAACTCTTTCAGGGCTACGCAGGTCATTTTTTCCATGGTTTTCTTCGCTCTTTTCTTCTCCGGATAGTAATCTAGCGACTACAGGTTCGGCAATTTGCTACTCGCCTAAAATGCTAGTGGCGCTTATGTCCTGTGAAAATGGCGAAAAAACGGAAGAGAAACGATCAAAAACCTGCGAAGTGAAGCCTTCATTCCTAGTGACTCAAAAAGCAATTTCGGACGAGTTTCCGTAGTCATCTTGCCAATCATCGCTGTGGTAAGTACGACTGCACGTATGTACGCATATATCCATGCAGCACCGCGGCCGTTTCATAAAAATCCTTTCGCTCCATATTTTACTTCGCAAATGAAGCAATACGGCCATCAGGTACGGTCGTCCCTTTGGGGGCTGGCGTGCGCTGAGGGCGTCCGAGTCGGTATGTTGCAGCTTGATAGCTCTTATATGGATACCTTAATTGGAGAAGGCGCTACGCAGCGCTTGCTCAGGCGCGCGGAATTCCGATGAATCCTACACGGTCTTAAGGATATATCGTCGGCCAACTCGCCTTCACCGGTGAACGTGAGTTCTAGGCGCATAGCCACGTTCGCACAAGGTATGAGTCGTCGCGACGCATGCACGTCCTCTTGTTTCAACTCGTCACAACTATTTGGCTTTGAGTCGAAAGACTTAGCATTTTAATTGCCACCATTCTGCATGGGTGAGGTCTTTCCATTAGCCTTTTCTTCGAATCTTTATTCGTAATGGATTAATAAAAAGGCGTCCAATATCTAATCACTGCATTTATCCCAATCGCTGAACCGGAATATATACCAGTAACGTACACTTTATAATCATGACATACATATATGAGAGATTATGAACATTCCGGTGGCTGCTTAGTGCTTCTTCATGGAATCCATTTCCTTCGTGCATCTTGTGACTGGCCTTATCCTTCAGCTCCTCGGCCTGCATATAACCTTTTTCAGTTGAAATCCATGAAAACACATTCCTATGCTTCTACAAGCACCTTATCTCCAGCCTTTCGAGCAGCCTTTTTCACGGTTTTACGGGCATTGACTAATTTTTTCTTGGCCAAGTGTCCTAGTTTTTGAGCCTTGTGCTGCGCACTCTAAACTCTGTGAGAATAAACGCTCATAAAAGGCCCCATCAAAGATTCGGAGTAATAATTACTCACATGGGCATGCTTTTGAGTGTGTTGTAAAGAACTGTGTACCTGAAGCAGCGAAAGTTATGGTATGTGAAAAACACTTTATTAGTGTCCCCACTCTATATTTTCTACTAAATCAGTTAGGGCCGGAGATAAGGTGCACCAGTCAACTATCACAAATAACAGAAAATGTAGCAACAGCTATGAACGAGGGGAATCAGAAACCGAAAGGTAGTCAACTTCTACCATTTTTCCCTCACCAGGCCGAATATTTTCCTTTACTAAACTAAGACTAAATTCTCCGCCTTCTCTCCCCAGATACAAACTTAACAACGCTGATGCACAGTGGTCTAAAAGAGGATTGCAGTACAGTGTAGTGTGAAGTTCTAGCCTTCCGAGCTTGTTACAGACGCTTTATCAGACCGACGTTTCGGCGAAAATCGCCTTCTTCGGAGCCTGCAAAGTCGAAATGGACGTTATCAAACAATTCACCCGATAACCGTTTCCAGTTACAGAAGAAAGCCGAAGGTTAGAGCACCAGAGAACGAAATCGTAATGCTGCGTTCATACTTTGCAGCAGCGACCAAAAGCGTCCACTAGCGTTCCCAGGTCCGGCAGCGTCAGCGATTAGGAACGTATAAGTATGGACCTGGCGTCTGCGAGCGTCTGCCAGCGATCATTAGCGTCCGGGAGTGGAGAATATGGGACGATGGAAGGGTAGCAGACTGTTGGTAGAGAGTAGGCGCGATAGGAGCTGATACCCTCCTATTGCCCCACCCTCTTTACCAGCACTCTGCTGCTGGTCGCTGTTGGACGGTAGACGCTGGCAGACGCTAGATCGATACCTACACTTCCCTAGCCTACGGGGCTGGCAGACGCTGGTGCAGGACAGACGTAAAGCTCTACCGAGCACTGAGCCGAAGACTGCGCCGTGCTTTTGTAGGTTCAAGCTCAGAATTTACCGTTCAGAGAGCTCTAAAGACCGATAGCACCGTAAAGCTGGGTCAATGCCTGGAAGAAATATCGGGAAAGAGGCAGAACAGGAAAAATGGAAGGAAAGGTATAACAGGGGGATTTGAAAAGTGAGAGGTGAAGACGAAAAGCATAATAAGTGGTGTGTAGTCCCCCTTAACCTAGACCAAGAACGCTGATCGGCCTTCTTAGAGGAAACAACACCGCCATAGTGAACAACATTTCTCATACAGTACTCGGTTATTTCAACGCTGGGTACTTGTTATTGTTTCTTTCTATCTCA